CTCTTCCAACCATAACCATTCTATGATTCACTGGCCTGTGGCATCTGCTTTTTTAATGTGTTTGAGTCCCCACTGGTACCTCCGCTACAGGGATCACCAAAGCCTGGAAATGCCTGTGTAAACCCTCTGTCTGGAAAAGCTGTGAGCTGGACTGCGGTTTAGAGGCTCAGATTTGGAGTGATGATCTCTTTGAGGCACAGTTCCCCCTGACTATATTGTTGAAAAGGATTTTTGGAAATCATAAAAAGTGTAGTTCTTGAATGCTTTCCATGGCAACCAGTACCTAAATCCCACAGGTGCTGTCAAAACTCACATCTCTTGCTTTTTCTTATCCCTTTAGTTTCATTATTTATCTTATCCCTTTATTTTTCTTTGGCTTGCACTTGGAAAACAAAAAGAAATCACCTACAGAAACCACATCCTGGGGTAGGCACGACTGCAGAAGTGATCACTTGGAAGTTTGGAAATGCCAGCATTACATGTCGGAGAGATTTGGAGGTGCTGTGGGAGACTCGAGCATCGGCTCTGAGGCATGCAGCAGCAGGGAGGAGTGCGGTTCTGCAAGGCAGGGAAAGCTGAGGGCTTCCCTGAGCATCGCTACTGGAGAAGAGGGATCCCAGATATAGGTTCTGCAGGACTGGGTTAAAAAGGATAGGGACCTGGGGCCGCAAGGGCTTTTATTTTTCCCAATGGGGAAAAAAATGTGATATTCAGGGTGGTTGGACTGTGGGTCTTGGGGAGATGGACATGTCCATTGATGTGGAGAAGTGACCCGTATGGTCAGTCGATAGCGATCAGTGTTTTCTTCTTGTTGGAAATGTCAAACTAAAATATTCCAACATTTCTGAGATGTCTGTGCTCTGGAAAACAATGAAGCTCCCAATGTTTTTCCTTTATAGGGCAAAAAGAAAGGTCTGAAATTCCTGTGGGAGATTCAGCTCTGCACCTCACCCGCTCAGTGCTCTGATCTGCTCCCCAGGGCCAGACAGGGGTAGCGTGGCAATGGCTGATGCTGCAATGTGTTTTATCACCAGGGGTAGAAGGAATCTCAGCTCCAGCAGCAGCTTTCTGGGTGCTTGTCTGCAATCGCTCCCAAGTTTTGTTGAAATGAGAATTTTTATTATTGCCCATTTATTATTCTCATTATCAGGTTTTACTGATTCAGTTTTAATAATGTTTCAGTTATTGTTTGACTGTTTATTTTAATAAGTGTATCACTAGCGATCAGCCTGTTGTCCATCTGTCCCATGCAGACTTCCCCACTGGTGCTCTTTGTCCAAGCTCAGGGCTTAGCCACCATGGGACTATAAACAATAGAGGCAGTAAAAGGAGAGCCAAACCTCCCTGTTCTCGCAGACATTGGCATTGATGGACCTGCTCAATGCGGTCTGCAAGCAAATGAAGACACTGTCAGATGGAGCAAAAATCTGACAGAGCCAAGAGGAAGTCTTCTCCTCCACCTGAGATGAACTTCTCCCACAGCAATATCTCACAGGGTGTCCCTCTTTGTCAGTCTGTTAATGTTCCCTTCCCTTATTGATATTGCTGGTGTCCTCGGCTCAGATGACAAAGCTGCGTCTTCAACTAGGTCCAGCAAATATGACTCATCCCAGAAGCGGTGGACAGCATGACTCAGTGGAAGGACCAGCAGGGTTATGGAAGATGCAGATGGGGCTTTTAGTAACGCATACGTGAAAAGGAACCAAAGACACATCTGTTCAAGGTGGCACCGGCTCATAAGTCAATCGTGTTATCTGTAGACACAGATCATGTGTTAGGGTTTCTTGTCACTCACAGCCATGGAGCTTGCTAGAAATCTCCGCTGTGTTCTTCCAGGTTGGATGATTTCCCCTGCACCCTGCCAAGCGTCCAAGGAGTCCTTCTGCCTCGAAGACTTGGACATCCTTGGGAAGCTCATGCTAAGATGCTGGGGTGCTTGGCCGGGCTTCGGAGGATGTTTGGTGCCTCTGTCAAGGTGAAAAATGGGTTGGCTGATTCCTCATAGTCAACTTTTGGATATGCTCCTCCTCTTGGAGGCTCGGTCCAGACAGGTTGACCACTGTGCCCTTCAGTGTTGGTGCTTACTACTTTCTTCATGAAACTGGTCAGTGAACATGACAATAATGGGGCCAAATGCTTCCCATCCCACCCCACCCTACGTAGGCAAGGCACTATGCACAGGGCAGCGCAGAGCCAAATCCTGTATGGACATATCTGGTCTCCAGCTGAGAGGTTTGTGCCACCAGATATTTTCACAGCACAGACTGCTCATGGTTCAATGCCTACATCTGTTGTCTAAAATATCCAGGGCTGTGGTCACAAGTCTCTAAGGTCTAGGAAGCCCTTAGATAGAGACGTTTCTGAGATATCAGTGGATTAGTTGCACTGTTATAAGGAAATGGTCCTGTTCAGAGTGTCCACATCTACCTCAGGGTGATGATGGGAACCCTCTTTTCTGCTGGTGGAGCTACTCAGCACCATTTGAATGTGCTGCCTGACTCCAGCCCCTCTGCCTTGGGGTTTCTGGTGCTGTTGCTGGCTCCAAGCTCCTGGAAGACGTGTATCGAGAGTGTGAGGACTGATGTGTCAATGAAGGGGTTGCTTCATGGATGCACCAATTGAGCAGTTTCTGGTCCTGGGTGCGTGGGAGCCTGTTACACCTGGAAAATCTGGGTCTGGATTTTGGAGGGAGGCACTTTCTTTTAGCTTCAGGCCAGGTAACAAGGTGGGGAGATGCCGGATGATCTGGCCAGGGTGGCTCACCCATGCCAAGGTAAGGCTGGAGAAAGAATCTCAAACCCCAGCTCAGCAGTCCAACCCTGCTCAGGAGATTCAGCGCCGTGCCCCAGCGTGGCACCTCATAGAGTACTGCCAATATAAAGTTTTTGCGGGGGCTTGTAAAAACTCTTCTCAAATGAGTCAACAGCCAAAACCCCTGATCAGGGACTTAAGTTCCCAAGTACCTTAATGCCAAGGAAATGGTGCTTCACTGACTGCTGGCTGGCTGGACTGTGCCAAGGCTCGGGATACCACATCAGAGAAGCAGGCTTTTCCTAATCTTCCCAGTGAGGGATAATGAGTAAGGAGCCCAAGGAGGGCTCAGAGCAGAAGGAGAAGTGTCAGATGGTTGGTCTCGTCATGCTTTGGTTGGAGATGTGGCTGACCAAGGTTGGCCCTAGGCTGGTGCAACCTTGGAGACTGCTGGAAAGGCAGACGGGGCTGGGCAGCCCTTGGGTTGCTGCTCGCTGTGCGTAGGCGTTGCTGGCAGAAAGCAGGAGGACTTTGAGGAAAGGACCCTAAAAGGCAAAGCAAGGAGGCCTCTAAAGCCAGCAGCTGCTGGCATGAGAGAGGTCAGGAGGTGGGGACCACAACCCACAGACCAGAGGCAGCACTGGGGGTTACTGGAGTTGTGACTTGTCTCATCTTCCGAGGTGTCACCCACCCAGGGGAGATCCTCAAGGCTGGCTCAATTCATGGTGGAGAGAGGTCTCAGCCACGAGCACTGTCTGCTCTTGGGGCTTCCCTCACCGCGGGTGAGTACATAAAGCTCTTCAAACGGAAGCACTGATGCTCATCATGGCCAGACACCATCATTCCTCAGTCTTGTCCAAGCACAGCTTTAGCGAGGGCATAGGCATATGATTCATTTAGAATAAATCAATAAATAAATCAGGTTAAGTCTTCTCTGCTAGCCCTAGTAAGCAGCAAGCAGCACTTGAGCTGGTACACCCATGGAGGGGGCTGAGTGTCTGTGGTGCTTCCGAGACATCATCAAACTGCCTCCAGGACAGGGCCACACATCCCCTGTCCGCTTCATCAGCAGCTGCCGCTGACATTTGACTTGAACCCATCCTGATCGGTATCTTGCTGCTGTCGTGTGATTTAAGCCAGAGATGATTTCCTTGCTTGTGGTTTCGGCCGGCTCCTTTTGTCCTGTTAAAATGACCTTGTTTCTCAGCGGACACCTGCAAAGTTTGCACATTTCCCCTCTATTGTGTTTCATTTTTCTACCTTTTTTTTTTAATTCTGCAGAAAGGCAGTATAAAAATGTCAGCTCTTTTTATGTGGCAGCAGCTTCCATTTATTTTGGGATTTTGCTGTTTGGGGATTATTTTGGGGGAGAAAGAGAAACACAGCTGCTGTTGCATGGTGGATGTGCCAGGTTTTAATGAGGTTTCATTGTCATTAGGGCAATGAAACTTTTTCTTTGCCAACAACCCGTGACACAACCCAGGTAGCTCCAACAAAAGCTCTGAGATGAAGTGGGCTGCCCTTTCCCATGGGAAGGCAGGTAAATCTGTGCTCCCCACCACGGGCACTGAGTGCATTGCCTTCCAGTGTTGGTTGGGTGTTGCTCCAGAGGTTTTGAACCTTTCCTCTCCCAGTCTTTCCCTCAGTGGTTTCATTTGTGTCTCTGCAGGATGGATGACATTCAACTTTGTAAAGAAATCAGTCGGCTGAAAAAGGAGCTTCAAAAACTCATAGCTCTTCCAGGTAAGGCTTTGTAAAACTTCAGAGAGCTGGACCCTACCACTGCAATCAGCAGAAGGTTTCCATGAAATACAAGAAGCTCTTGAATGGCCCCCACCCCGGGATGCTCCCAGAGACATCTGGAAGGAGAGATGAGATAAAAAAAAAGAGTCCTTTGAGGTAGAGCATCGATCTGGTATAGGAGGAGGAGAGGAGTTGAGTGAAGTGACTATGAATGCCGACACAGTGGGACCTGCCACGTAAAATAAGGAGGATCCTCAAAAGAGTTGAGGGCACAAGCAGGGGACATTGTCAGACCACACCATGGAGGGGCCCCTTTGGAGGGAGCAGGAGGGGAGATGCCTTCAAAGGCCTCAGGTACATGAACAGCAATGAATTCTTGCTGAGGGCATGTCAGAGCTGTGTGTTAGTGATGGGGCAGATGCCAGGGAAGGATTCCTGGTTGCAGCCAGAGTCAGATGGTTGCTAGGGGGATGTGATGCCAAAGGGGCTTGGTGATGTCCCTGATTTAGGCGAATTCATCATTCAGGATGTTGAAAAGTGTCCAGGGCAACATACGTGAAAGCTTCAGCTGGAAGGAAATGCTGCTTTTCTCACCCCCCTTACCATGACCAGAGACCCTCCATGTCCTTGTGGCAGCCAAAGCCACCCTTGTCCCTTCACAGCCCAGGAAAGGCCAAACCTCGTTTCTCTAAAGGATCCCCCTCAGCCAAAGTATTCAAATGAAAGCACACACCAAACAGCTCAGGGTTTGAAGGAGAACGAGCAAGAAAGGCTTCCCCACAAGCTGTATCCCTCACTGTTCATAAGGCTATGCCTCCTCCTAGGACATCCTCATTCGTCCCCTAGTGAGGACTTCACGTGTGTTTTCAGAACCAGATGGCAGACGTATCCCAGTTTATTTGTACCCATCCAAGGATTAAGATTCAGATCTCAGTTATTTCCAGCACAAATACCTCTCTGAAGGCGCTGCACGCACTGAGACCAAGGAGCGTGTAGCAGTGGGCGATGTCTGGATGCAGACAAGGGACCAGCTGTGCACATGTGTTTCCCAGAGGAGCAACTCAGCTCATTGGTTCTGTACCCAAGGTTATCTCAAAGCCAAGAGTGGCAAGAAATCTTGACCCTTTTTAATGCCATAGTGTTGCTATGCTGTGTGTGCTTGTGAATCTTCAGCATGAAGTTTAGAGCCCAACTGTGATCAGTTTAATACAACCTGGTTGCATCCAGAGTGAAGTTCAGATGGGGGAGAGGAGGATTCTGCCATAAAAACGAGAGCTGCTTGCAAAATGTAGACCCAAGTCTCATGTGGGCTTTTAATTCAAACATCTTCTAGTTCATAAAACAAGACTTGACCTAAATGATGGCTCAGGACCAGAGATAAACTTGGTCTTTTCTGAAGCTGGAGAAATGTGGCTGGTTTTCCTTTGTCTGCTTTGGTCTTTCATTTCTAGCCTTTTCAGCATTCCCAGATTCAACTGAGAGCAGAAATGGTGCTTGCATCAGGGATGCTCTTTTTGTCTTCCTTATAACTTGACTCAAATTAGACTGTGCTGGAAAAATCCTGCAAATCACTGGTCTTGTGAGACTATGGCAGCAGATCATTCGTAAAAATGGGCATTGAACTTTGGTTTGGATAAAGATTCAAACACGTCAGTGCCTTACACAGAGCTCAGCCAGACCCATGGCTTGAAATCTCACCAGACCAAGGTGCCTTTAATAATTCAGAGAGATATTGTGGTCATGATGGACTCTGACATCAGCAAATCAGAAAAAAAAAAGTGCAGTGTTTATACAGTGGGTGTGTTAACTCTGACATGCTCTAACTCAGGAATGCAGATTGCTAATTAACTCCAAATAGCTGGTCTATTTGTGTACAGCCTGATGTTTCCAATTTGTATAGCATCCAAATGACACTGTAAAGTGCTCCTAATCCCACCAAGCAGGTGGGAGCTGCTGCACAGAGACAGTGTCCATGGCCAGGAGACTTTGCATTAACTGTTGATGGTAGAAGACCAACAGATCAGATCATCTTTCTCTGCCGGGAAGCTCGAGCTCGCTCCCTGCACAAGACGACAACCGTAGGAGAACCCTTTGTGGGGGATGTTTCTAACAACATGATGATTATGAGAAGTTCCTCCTACTCAGAGCCCTGCAGCAGCACCTCCGATCAATATATAGCAGACTTTAAACTACAAATCAATACATAGTTTAGGTAACTGCTGAGACCCAACCTATAGGGTTTGCTCCGTACTGTGAATTTCGCTGCATTTTTATTTAGCTGAAGGAAGACTAGAAGTTGATCCATCCTGTGCTGGATTGATTTTAGAGCTGGCTGCTGAATTCAGAAATGGTATGAAATAGCTGCAGCACAGACAGTCATAGTTTCCACCTAAGATGGCTCGCCGTTTATACTTAACACTCCTTAGCCCTAACTATCATTTTCCTGTATCCCACATACCATTATTTACCAATTTATATAGGACATGACTCCACAGTGATGTGAGAGTTTTCCAAGTCTTCACTAGCTGACTGCCCAAAGGTGTGTGGCACAAGTGGGTCCCACTGTGCTCGAGGTAGATCAGTCTGGGGGTTCAAGGGACAACCAAGGCTAACGCATTCAAAACAGCCTGGCAAACACTTGTGGTCATCCTTGTCACTGAGGTGGGAATGGGGCTGGCAGTGGTTCGAAAGATCAGATGTGGAGGATGAGATCACTGGGACCGTGTTCAGTGAGGGAAGAAGTCTACAAAACCAGTGGATCATACTGGTTTTCATGTCTCTGTATGTTTATATGATAAATGGTGGTGTGAGGTGTTCCCAAGGCATCTGGGCATTGCTGATAATTCCCTATGCACCTGAATCCCCAACCGGTTTCTCAGCCACATGGAGGATGTGGCTCAGAGGTCTCTGGACCCCTACGCAGCTCAGGGCCAAGCTCAGACTGGTTGGGTGTGCTGGCATGGGAAATGTGGGTTAGGCACATCTTGGCTGAAGGATGACATCTGAGTCTGACGTTTCTGAGCATGTTGAGGTCTGGTACGCAGGCTTTTCAGCGGTGCAGGGTGAAGGCCCCAGAGAAGCCATGGTCATCTCCCACCAGAGAGCTCACCTTGTTGAGGGGTCCTTTCTCTGCTCTGCAAAGCTCACAGGTGTATCTTGCAGTGCTCAGCCCTGTGAAAATTTTGGGGAGAAGCTAAAAATTCAAAGTTTGATTATACCAGACCTGTCTCCTCCCAGCCAGGGTGGTTTGGGATGAGGTTGTTGCTTATTTAGCAGCCTGTATCTGGATCCAGGTGCTTACTTTGGGTTGGTTTTTACCCCCACTCTCATATCTGCTCCTGGGTTGGGCAGAAGCAGAGCAAGCTTGGCCTTGGGATGGGTGGGATGGACCCTGTTAGGGTGTTAAATATATTCCCTGTGCTGCAGAGAATGAGAAGTCCAACGAGGAGAAGCAGAGGGAAGAGGAGCTGGTACAGCAGATACACAAGCTGGTGGAAACGCGGGATTTCCTGGTGGACGATGTGGAGTTTGAGAGGCTCAGGTAGCTGGGTACAATTGATTCCTTGCACTGAGGACAGTGCAGTCTGTCCTCTGATCTGTATCATGCCTTCCCAGATGCTCCTGGATGCCTTGCTGCTCCTTTCCTGAGTGGTAACCAATCTCTTTTTCACAGGGAAAGGGAAGAAGACAAGGAAATGGCAGAGTTCCTGCAAAGTAAGCTCTCCAAAAGCTACCTCCAGAAAGCAAGTAGGTGGTTGATGAGTTTCATTCCTTGCATTGAACCTCTCTGGCAGTTTCTCCCCTTTCCGAAGCACTCTGCCTCCAGGATTTCATTGCTCTGCATGGGGCTAGCTTACCTGGAGGCCATCTGTGCTGGAGGAGGATGTGGAGAAATGACAACTGGGGGATGCTGGTGCTTGAGATCCCATTGTGGAAACATCCCTAATTGGTACAGATGTTGTGCTTCCATTTCCCTCCTGGCATTTCCCAGCCACCATGTCCTATGAGAATGGGGACGGGTAGGTGTCCTTTTGTGGCTGATGTACTTTATCTGACCCTTTCCAACCAGCTCCTTACACTTCATCACACCATTACCTAAGCGCAGATGTTGTGGTATCCATCCAGTCCTCCTCTCTTCATGGCCTCTGACAGCAGGCCACCCTCTACCCTGCGCCTCCATCATTGCTGGAGGAACACCTCCTCAGTGCGGTGGGAGGCGTATCCAGCCCACGGTCCCTGTGGACACCCACGAAGCAGACATGGTGATGTGCCTCCTGGATGCAGGAGCCTATGCCCAGCTGTGGGTCTGAGGAGGGTCAACATCTTAGTCCTGAAAGGAGCTTGAAGAAGAAACAATGGTCCTGTTCCCTTATCACCAGGCAGACACGGATTCCTCTTTCCATAGCTCCTGTCAAAGAGAAGAAAATGACTTCCAGGGGACAGCAGACCTCTGCACCGTACATGACCAAAACGAGCCTCACCCTGCTCAAGGAGTGCTGTGGCTTCACCTGCTCCATCATGTAGGCCAGTCCCTAGCTCCTCTGCACAGGACACAACCATGGTAGTGTACACGTCCCGGGAAGAGGATGACTTCCTTGGTGCGCTTGAAATGGCCAAGTGCTTGCGTGGGGTGGGTGAGCGTCAACAGCTGGGACATGCACAGCTCCCGGTGCTGCAGGTGTGGGGCATGAGGGACCACTGGGCTGCAGCCCTGCTCTGGAGGGGCTGCCATGGGGGAAAAGTGCCAGAGCCCTGCTGAGTCTTGAGAGAAGGGCTGGAAGGGAAATGGCAGTGGTTGTGGCTGGGAGGAGGGAGTTGGGTGGAAGGGGAAGAGAGATGGAGGGCAGGGAGGAGCGGGGCCAGGCACGCTGCAGGTAGCATACCCCGGGTACCAAGGCATCTCTTTGTAGGCACATATGGGATGGAGTTGTCAGTCAAATGTACCACTGCTGTCCACACCTGGTGCTCATGGAGTTACACCATCAATGCCCTTGTCTTCTCATAATACCTTCTCTGAAGACCTAAGAAGACATCAGGCCTTTCTGTCCTTGAGGGTTGCCACAAGCCTTTTCATGTGCCTTCTGCCTGCTCCTTTTCAGCAGGTTGCAGTGAAATCACTGGCATCTGCTGACCGCCACAGGTGCCCAACTGTAAAGTGATGCACCCATTATTTTTTAAACAGAGTTTACTAATTTACTAAGGGTCAGACTGTGTCAGTTGTACAGGACTATCCTCTGGCTGCTAAGGGGCAACCAGACAATCCCTGTCCATTTGCCAGTGGTTCAGGACATAAACTCATTCCAAACATTATCTCTCTGTAGAAGTCTTAGGGAGTGGCGGACCCATAGAGAGGTGCTTCTTGCCAGTGCAGCCTGGCATAGACTTCCCCGCCTTATCCCAGGAGGAGGCTGAAAGGACCAAGCTCACAGGGGTGGGTGGTTGGATCCCCACTGGACCAGCTTTGCCTGGCTCAAGCTGTCTTCCCCCTTTTATGCCAAAGCATGACACCGCTCCACAGCACATGCTGCCAAAATTGGTGTTTGTGGGGTGCGGACAAGTCAAGCAAGGCCTAAAGGGCTTGGTGTGGGATGGGGCAAAGGCTGAACTGGTGATAGCTGGTGAGCTGAGTTTGCTCCTGCCAGAGTGTGGTGAAGCAAGTAACAGCTGAGATGAAGTTATGTCTATAAGGATGTGCTTTAATAGAGTTGAAGTGAAATTCTGTGCTCCAGCACCACAAATCTGAGTCCAGACCTTACAGCTCATCACGGGGCAGTTGGCAAGGAGGTGAAATTACCCACTCAGTGAGCTCCCACCTTACGCCGTGCCTGGGCTTCACCCAGTTGGTGATGAGCGTGGCCAAAGCTGAGTGCTAGGTCCCAGCTGACAGCATGTGTGACAAGCACTGCGTAAGAGGAAGATAATGGTAATGCAGTTCCAGTGGGTTGTAGTCTCTGTGGGAAGATACAGCTCATCCTGAATAGTGCTGGAGACTTCCATTGTGGCAGTGGTCTGACACCCAAGAGTTAATCTTGTTGGCATCAGGCACTCTGTAAAGCAGGGTTGGCTCTCTAGCCATTGGAGAATGGAGGCACCAAGGGCATACCATGGTTGCAACCCATGGTTTCGTCTCTCTTGCTTTTCCTCTCCAGGTCTCCAGCCAGAGTCCACAATCGGCTCCTCCGAGAGTTTCAACTTCCCGTCATTGTTCATGCTTCCTACTGCAGCACCACCACTGAAGAGACTTCCCAGGCAGACTGGTGCAAGCTTGAATGATGGCATGTGTCCTTGGTGCCACGTCAACAGTCGTCTCCTCCATGACATCAACAAACACTGAATTCCACCCGAACTCAGCTTGGAAGAGGTGTGTGCAGCAGTGGCAAGTGAGTCCATGACAAAAAGAGGACCGGTGCAGTCCTTCACCTCGACAGAGTAATACAAAAAGGACTGGGAGGTAATGTTTGGAGAACATTGTGCTCCACCATCCAAGACATGCTGTGGCCACAGATGATGTCTCATCCTTAGCCTTGTATCACTTTGTGAGTCTCTATGAGATGATTCCTGAGGACTCTTGGTCAGGAATGTCTCTGGTCTGGGTTTCGTTGTGTTTGCGTCGGTTTTGTTGCAAGGTGCCCTATGGCTCTGGGTAGAGCTGAGAAAAGCGTGAAGGGCAGTCCCCAGAGCTGACTGAATGAAGGGCTAATTCTTGCGAAGTTATCACCTGAGCACAGACCTGGTGTGTAGAACTATGGGCAGATGAGTTGCTTTCCCCACCTCACTACATACTGGATTCGGTTTTGAGCTCCAAGAAAAAGGAGGAAATTAGAGCAAAAGAGAAAAAGAAAAAATTCAGAAGAACAGAGCAACACACAGAAGGAAATGAAAAGTGAACAGGAGACTGCAAAAGTGGCAGGCGAAGGTGGAGACAGCAGGTGAGAGACACTCACTGCCAAGAGGGCATTCAGTCCTGCCTGCCAGTGCCTCTGGGCTTGGCACCATGAGCTGGACATAAAGTCCTGTGCAAAAGACTCATGGCACCCTGAGGTCACCCAGCACCCCAGTTCCTGTTGTCCCTTCTGAGCATCCGCCCGTGTTGAGGTGGCACAGCCAGAGCTGCTAATGCCCATTGCAGCAGGACAGGGCCTCTTTTTCTCGCTGGGTGTGAAGGCCTCTCGCATGTCCCACCCTGCCTGCCCTTCTGCCCTGTAGGCTGCTATGGCTTCACTGGGTGTCCTGGGGTGACCTCCCATTTGTGGGGCTGCCCAAGAGCTCTGGCTGCTCTCTGGCCAAAATGCTGATTCCTCCAGCTCAGTCCTGCTGCAGCTTGCTGTAGGGTCTTGAGATGGTGTTCCTGCCTGGGTCACTGTCTGACCTGCCCATGCCAGTGAGGTGGTCACTTGACTCTTTCCATTGCACCTAATAGGACTTTCATCCTTATAAAACACAATGCGGGTGGCATCCTTTCTAGTGCAATGCCATAAGCAGGTCCAAGTTCATCCTGCATTTCTTTAGCAGCACTGCCAGAAAACCTAGTGTGTGGGAACCTGCTCTCTAACCTTTGCAAGGGGGTTTCCACTCACTTGTCCTTCCTGAGCAATCTCCTCCCCATACGGATCTTACCAGCAGCCAGAAAAGTCCACAAACTAAGCCAGTCCTTCTGCACACTCACAGACCAGGGTGCAAGGCCCGAATGGGCCGACATGACACCTGGTCATCTCTAGCAAACTTGACCCCGCTTTGGTTTATGTCACCTCTGTGTTGACTTGAATGGTCTCAGTCTGAAGCCCACTTACTTTGTGCTGCTTATTGTTAATGTCCTACAGCATCCTACAACCACCACCTGTCGGTTCCTGATGCTCTCCTTGATTGGGGGAGGCTGGAGGGAGCACCCTGTACATCACAGGGACAAATTAAGTCACAGAGAGCTCCTCTCTACTTTTCCAACCCTGTGTAATGAAGTAAGGTGCACAGTTGGGGCTGCTGTCCAAGCAGGGGTGACAGACCATCATCAGTAGCATCCATCCTGGAGCTGATGGTACAGATTGGGCCACTCGCTCTCTGTTCTTCCAGAAACTGTCCAGCGGCTGCTTTGCTTGGTCACTCGGTGGTCACGCACGTGATGCAGTACAGGTGTTTGCTTTCATCGACACAGACCTTGCCTTCCCCGGGGTCTTCTTGGGAAGAATAACTAAGCCAGTTTGTTTGGTAGGAGCCAAAGGCAAGGAAGAGCCCTTGATTCAGAACTCGCTCCCCTAATTCATCCCTACCTCAAGCCCACAAGGCCTCAAGATCCGGATTTCGGCTGCTGAGCAGTGCTTGGGCAGGCAGGGAGGATGGCCAGAGGGAGATGGGCAAGGTCCTGGCCTATTTTGTTCTGTACTGACTGTGTTTGTGTGGCTGGTCATGGAGAAGGAGACAGGATGCTGTCCTGGTCGCATGATACTATTTAGCCTGTATTTTAATTGATGGCACAGGTGTGCAGCACACGGGAGCGACACTGTTTCATGTGCATTGATTTCAACCCAAACAAATAAATGTCTATTGGAACCTTGGTTTGGAGGTATTTTCCCCACCCGGGACTTTTGCAGAGAGATATCTCAGGCTGTGTCGCAGCAGGGTGGTTGAAGTGGAACAGAAACAAGATCCTAAAAAGTCAATGTGGGCTTTGGAGTTCCCTGGTATTGCAGGAGCACAGAGCAGCTCCTGCTGCTGCAGCAAGATATCCAACCTTTCCATTCCTGGCTCTTGACCTAACATTTCACTTTCAGGCCAGGCTGAAAAACCTTTAGAAAGGCAAGAAACTGCCTCCCTGGGTTAATATCCTTTAATGCTTCAAGCCCCGAACTCTTTTGATAGATTTGTTCACTGATAACAGCCTTCTGTCCTCACCAAGCCTCAATAGTGCCATTTATAGAGGGATTGTGGAGCATCAAATGTCTTCTATATGTGGTACTTTGCTTAATGAAGCACTGAAGGGGGTCTGGCTGCACCGTCTCTTCTTTTGGCCCCCCAACTCTCCCCCTCCTGTATCCCACCCCGCAGGTGCTCTCCAGAGGAGGAGCAGGACTGGCCAGCCGGCAAACTGTAGGTTCTCATGGGTTTTGGTGTTTCCTTTCCTCGGGATGGGTGATTAAACAACATATGAGAAAGACCTCATGGTGGACATGTTGGAGAAGACAAGAAGGTGGGAGATGGGATGAGTAGGAGCATAGAGACAGGACAGAGTCTGTGTTTCATTAGGTCTCCTCAGTTGTGTAGGACCAGGGAAGCTTGCAGTCACTCACAGATGCAATGTGCTTTTTTACCAGTGACTGCTGAGAGGGGACCAGGCAGCTCTGGCACCCGCATCCTCTCTTGGATCTGGCGGCTGGAAATGGCACGTGCAAAACCAATGCTCTAATTCAGGTTTAATTACTTCCCTGTCTTTGCCATCCAGCACCTAGTGGTGCTTGGCACGCCAAGTCCCACATAAGTGCTAATCATGGGGTTAACAAGCCAGCAATGTCTTCTGAAGTCACTGCTGAAGA